TAACGCATGCGCCATTGCTGCTAGTTGTCCAGAATACGGATTCTGTTCGGTCCTGAGGCCTATAGTAAAAGAGAACTACTCACTTGTTGCGTCACCGTCAATAAATGGCGTGCCTCGGACAGCTCCACCGACCCCTACTACACCGTTGCGTGCAGAGCTGCTTACGGCTATACGAATGTCCCATTCCACGTGTTGTTTAGGTGCATTTTCATAGTTGAAAGCTTGAACTCGTTTCTCCCACGGCTTTAGTGTGAATGGTTGTATAGATTCTAGTTCGTGTAACGGGACGTCTTTGAGCCTGCATGCTACTTGGTGAAACGGCGATCGAGCAGTCCGGTAAGACTTCCGCACCCGCGATACTATTCTGTGCAAAGGGTTCGTTTTAGGGAGAGTATGGATATCAACCCAGAACTTAATTGCGCGTTTCCAGAAGCGCTCTCGCGCCGTTGATACGGATGCCTCAACTTCTGCGATGCTCGTTGCTACTGTAAGAAAGGTCCCGACAATCGCCTGCGCCCCTACTCTTTGAACCCGGTTAATCGGAGCCATGTTTCTGTACCTGTACTCGTGCATCCATATATTCGAGGCATAGTCAACTACTGGGGCTACTGTGGCGGAAAACAACTGTCTGGCCGTTACGGTGGACAGGCCTTTGAGCCTCGTTAGTTCTAATGCTGCTTCCAATCCTTTCGAAGCTGCTCTGGCAATGTGTTTTGTGCAAATATTCCTTCCTCTACTCTGTTCTCTTTCAAGCAAAATTCGAGACCCACACAATGTTATTAATAATGTATCTGCACGGCCTACCCCCGGAATTAAGTTTTGCCGTTAGCCAAACATGGCGTATTAAGTGCGACGCACTCTCGGCGTCGTGGTGTGGCATCCCTGACCTTGCCACCCCCCTCCAATAATGGCGCCTAAGCTGTCAAGGATCGAGCGAAAGGAGCTGGAAAATACCATTATCAGTAAGTATCAGGGCAAGCATAAGATGACAGATAAGGAAATAGCCAAAGTATTTCCACAATGCACGACAAGAACTGTCCGCAACGCCCGATCAAACATCATGCGATATGGCACGATTGACCGCCCCCCGAAACCATTTGGTCGACCACCAGAAGTCACAGAAAACATGTGGATGGCCATTTGGTACGAGTTACGACGACGTCCTAGTTTGAGTCAACGAGCCCAAGCGAACTTTCTTTATAAGTTATATGGCATTCGTGTGTCAAGATCCACGATCGGTCGAGGCGTAAAGTGGACAAAGAAGAAGATGATTACTATTGCCAAAGAACGTAACCGAGATCTACGAGACGATTTTATACATAGACGATCCCTTTTTAAGCTTAGGCAGCTGGTTTGCGTTGATGAATCCGGCGATGACCGTGAAGTAGCGATACCTAAGAAGGGATACGCTCCAAAAGGCGTGCCTCCCATTCAGAGAAAGCCATTTCATCGAGGACAAAGAGTTTCCTTCCTCCCTGCGTATACTATAGATGGGGTAATCTATTCTGAGGTGTATGAAGGCACTACGGATCTGGAGGTGTTCGAGTCTTTTCTCGTAAATCTTTTGCCACACTGTGGCAGGTACCCAGAACCACGATCGGTTGTAATCATGGACAACGCAGCATTTCACAATATCTCCCAAACGGTCAAAGACTTATTTGCCGAAGCCGGCGTGTTAATCGTGAAACAGTCGCCATACTCTCCAGACTTAAATGCGATTGAGTACTTCTTTGGTTCGCTTAAGAACCACATAGAAAGCCGGGCTCTAGAGGACGAAGACCATATCCGCGGGGACTTGAAAAACTATTTACGGATAGAGATTAATACTATGGGACGAGGTGAAACTGGCAGGAAATGGGCAAGGGGACATTTTAGAAAGGCACAGTTCTATAATGAAGAAGACCTAGAATAAAAACAAAAAGGAAACGCAACAAGAAAGGGAAGAAAGAACGCGTTCTATATGTTCCACAACACCATTGTGCTCCGTCGTCCGTCATTACTTGTCCCCGTTGCATGCAAATCCCAATCGAGTAAAGTAATACGCCACCAAGCAGCCCCCAATATAAAGAAGCACTAACTGCCACCAAAGCATAACGCCCCTGACTGGCCGACCCCACGTTCTTGGCATGCTCTTCTTTCCGTAGTTTGTAAAACGCTTTAATATCGCAAACGTAATGCCACGCAACACCCTCTGGCACGTCGTTCTCTAGGTAATATTGAAATACCCTTTGCTTGTTACTCGCAATCATTTCAAGGTCGTATTTACGCTCCAGATTTAAATTCTGGATGCGTTTATAAGACTCTTTTTCGTCATCACTTGCTTGACATATCTGCCACACATCATATGCCTTAAGCAGGCCTCGCCTTGGCTCTCCAAGAGCTATAAGCGGTGACGTAGGGAAGATTACCTCAGGAGTTGATGGACGACCGCCAAATGGACACTGATCCGGATGGCAAATGCTGGTAGATATGCTATCCGAGTCCGGTCGTTTCCGCTTGCGTCGTCGATCATTTTGGCGCTGCTTCTCTTCCCTGTCTTCCTGCTGTCGTTCGTCGGCTAGCACTAAACGACGAAAGGTTTCTGGAACATCATGGTGTCCATTTAAAGTCCTCCCTGCATGTAGGTGATCGGCCAGGACATCTATATGATGAGAAAAGAGCCGAATATGTCTGCCTTCATACTGCCAGCAGTGGTCGCCATTTTTACATGGTGGACCAGGGCATCTCATGAGATTGTATGCCTTCGAGACAGCCACCGATCGGGTCATGGTAGTTCCGTCTCCAAACCTGGCTTGTATATTATGTAGCTGGGCGGCTGAAGCAGATGCGCTGGGTTTCTTATCAGTGCCAACAACTGTATACTCGAATGTAATGGAGATGGTGATAACATTGTGCTTCTTGCGTGAGACCGGCAGCGTGTTCCATGCCCTGCGTTGTTTGTCAACGGCTCGCCAATCAATATTCAGCTCGTCAAAGCTTAAATCGACAGGTGGGGTCCCATGATGGGTGGTGGTCAGCCTAATTTCTGTGCTGCTTGCCTCACAGGACTTCTTCATCTTCTTGACGGCTTTGTCTAACTTGGCTTCCAAGACATCTTGCCAGAAGATCCGCACCGGCGTAACTACGCCTAACTCAGAGCAGCCCCCCCGCCTCCTACGATTAATGGATAGTTTCCATTGGATATTATATGGTATCGTTAGGTCGTCTTCGTCCGATGTTTCTGAAACTCGCTCGGCGTATGGCAGAGACGCAGGCTGTTTCCCTGCAGGTCTCAGACGGCTCCTTGGCGCTGGGGTCGCAGGCTGAGATTCCTCACTGTGTGAACTCGGACTATGGGGACTCTGAGAGTCAGTTTCATCATCATTTGGCCAGTTTTCACTCTTGCTTATGGTTTTTTATGCCTTTTGCAGGACACTCTCTGTTGCTTAGTCGAGTTTAACCGGTACAAAGGCGCACAGCACGACCTCGAGCTCGCCCTCGTCCAGACACGGTCACGTGAGTGAGTACCTATCATGAGTACAGTTGCATACCCAATCTTGCTTCCACAATGTTGCCCATGAAGCTATTCACAATTTGAAGCTCAAAAAATAAATGGGGGAAGTAGTATGGCACTCTAGATCTTATCTAGGGGCTATTGCGGATCCCAATCAAAATCAGGGGCAATATCAGCCTGATTGGAATGGAAAAGCGCCTTGGACATGCGACCTGAATCACGTTATATTAGCCTTGTTTGTAGCCCGCTGACAAAGCAAAGTACCGAGGAAGAGAAGCCGCACTGTCATGGTGAGCTGCGGGTCCAACGGACTCTCTATATACTTCTAGCTACTAAACCGTACCCCTAGGACAGCGGTATTTCGAAGCGGCGCTTTGTGGGTCCTTATAAATTGAGGTCGATTTCGGATGATATCAAACGAAGAAGTACTGCTAAGTATCTTGAAGTATCTCCACATCCATATTTTGAAGAAAGAGAGAGGCGCACCGGAAGCAATATCTGCACAGAAGAATAAATTGTGTGTGTGTGTGTGTGTGTATTATATCACTAGACTGTGTCATTGAAACAACAGGGGAACTGGCAGCAAGTCAGAAATGACCATGAGAAGACAACTGGGTGTCAGGGGAAGCGAGGAGACAACGATCAAACGGAACGTGACCCATAAGAAAATACACTAAATGTGGTCAGAGTGATCCATCAGGAAATAAAGTGGGTGATAACGACCGAGCTGAACGCGACCCATTGCAAAATAAATGGCTTGTGACCAAAATAAATCAGCCCAATTACAAAATAAGCGGCAAATGGGCGGTGATTGGCCAAGGTGAACCGGGCATAACAATAAGCCAGACCCATGAGAAAATGGGTGATGAGTGACCAAATTGAACGAAGCTCATTGGAAAATAATTGGTGGGTGACCAAATCGGACCCGTCAGAAATATTCGAGAGGATGACGAACAGACTGAACTGGACTTGTTAGGAAATGAATGACGAGCGTAACCAAAAATGGAAACCGCCCCATTAAATAATGTCGGTGTCATCAGTCTAGATCAGAAAGATAACGGGAAAAGCGGGGACACTCGGTGGAATTGCGGGGCTACGCGGCATGTGTCTCCGATCGACCGGCGTCTCTGAGGTTGTCAGGCGGGGAACTGTACTTGTGAAGCATGACAGAGCTCGGAGCGGACGAACCGCTTTGGGTAACCCTCGCCGCCACCAGAATGGATGAGCATTTTGTCTCCACTTCTGTTGAAGCCTCACTTGTCAGATCAATTCCTCCGTGGAAGGCCAAAGTCGCCTGCCAGGAAGAGTGGCATCTAGGGCTGTTGGTTACATAGCATGAGTACATTCCTGAAGATATTATAACACATGCGACGCCCGCGAAATGAGAGAAGTTTGTTTGGTATTGACAACTAAACCAAATGTTTGTGCGACTAAAGGGTAGCTCACTCTGTTTTGTAACGACTGGGGTTCCCAAGGGATAAACCCGGCGCGCCGTAGGAGTGGACAAGCAAAAACACTGGAATTGTCTGAAAAAAAACTGGGACATTAGCAGTGGACAGACAAAAAGACTGGGATGTGAGCAGTGGACAGGCAAAATAAACTGGAATTGTCTACAAAATAGATTGGGACGTGAGCAGTGGACACACAAAAAAAAACTGGAATCGTCGACAAAAAAGACTGGGGTTTTATGTTGGTTAAGACACTAAGGCAGTCAATCTGAGCGGTTGGGTGTTACGTTGATGATAGGTCGTGGACCGTATGTAACCAGTGATCGATCAGTGCCTTCACTCGGAATGTGAACTTAGGGCTATGCTGATGATTGTGTTGGGAGCTAAGGACTAGTAGCTATCTAGAAAGGAGAAAATTTGGGGCGCCTAAATACTAATACTGGAATTAACGAGCTGGGATCGTAACATTCGTACTTACAGACCAATGTGAGTGGTGTACTTCGGACGCTAAAATCCGAGTTATTATACATCTGTCTCATCCCAGCGTTTCCAGCTCCTCAATTTGTGAAGGCCGCTATGCTTAGACGAAGCGTCGGTCATACTCTTCAAAAATAGTGTCAAGTCGCGGATCTGCGTCCTGCCCTTCGGCCCAAACGTCTCCCCGGTAGGGTCTCCCAGGAAGAGGGTCTTCCACAGATCGCAGGATTTCGGAGACCCTATCCGTAAAACGCTCGCTCCACTCTCTTTCTTCACGCCATCATCCCAGTGAAGCTCAAAGCGGCCCAACGCTTCGCCAAGCGGCATGGCACATTGGCCTTGTAGATCATTCATGCAACCACTGCCTAGAATAACGAGGGTATACATCCGTTCCCGTGCAGGATGATGACGAACATCTTGGAACGCACTGTATTGTCACGTTATGAGACTCATTGTTAACTAAGCTTATTTCTTGAATATAAATTATTGTTGTTTTTTCTATCCTTCAGAAGGGTTCATGTCTTTTATCTTTAGTTTAGAAGACTTCCCACCCACCTGATGAAATCAGGGTGGCTGGCCAGCCTCTCAACTACTGATATCGATGATTTTATGACATCTAGCAATTACGTCAAGTCTGCTTGTTCAACTAACAGAGGCAGCCTTATCCGACATGTATAGCTTACTGAACATTCCCTCGCAATTCGGCTTGATCTAGTAGGATATAGATGTGAAGAAAGACCTTTCCATCTCACGCTTGGTCGAGCTTTTGGTACAGTAGTATAGAGAGCTGCTGTGAAAGCCCGCTTGTGTGACCTGAGCCAACTTTGCAGGGTCTTTTTTTCAAGCCACCAGAAGCAGGAATCAGTCGTAAGTCTAGAAGGGACTTTTCGTTCCATTCAGTCTTCCCTGCTACGATACGCGTAACGTCCCCCCAAAGATGTCTTTCGAGGGCCTCCATGGTCTTTTCAACAGTCAACAGGCTGACAATATTGAAAGAGCAGACCGGTTCAAGCTGATCCGGATCGAAGTGGAAGCGAAACGACACAGTGATATCTCTGGGCAAGCGCAAAGACTTTGAGAAGGCCCCATGGCTTATGCAAGTCGCAAGCTGCTGTTTGTTAATTCGCGTAGATCTCCAAGCCGCCCGAGGTGGCTCGTCAATTAGCCGCAGGTATATCTTTGTGACAACACCGGCACATGCGGCTGCTCCGCCTCTCATGGCGTAAAGAAGCTCCGAATGGTTCTTCTTGTCAATCTCCAGAATTGTTCCATCCCAGAGAGCAATCCTTCCACCAACAACAGCTTGGCACCCGAGACCAAAGCGCCGAGCCAGTAGTAGGTCCCAGCCAGCAGTGAGGAAGTGGCCTCCTGCGCCGACGCCGAAGCAATCGCCATGGGGCACTGCTTTGTGATTCTTAGCGAGAATGTCAATCGTCGCCCCAAGGAGGCACCCTGGCTCCAGAGACAGCATGGCGCCGTTGATTTGGCGTTCATTCATGGCAGACAAATTCAGCATAACCCCAGTGCAAGACGCCTTGTTGAAGTAGCCATGGCGCCGCCGCTCTTCACCGACAGAGGAACTCTATCATATAAGTGTAATTTTTTGAAAGCCTTAAGAGCTTGAGAGACTTCTTGCTCGTTTCGCGGCGACACAACCAGAGTTGGGACAGATGCCCTGCGATCATGCAGTAGAGCGTCTGCTGGTAAAGGCTGCTCCCGGGTATCGAGAACTCGAATGGTCTGCCGTCTCAACAACTCGGAGAATCGGCGTAGGTCACCACGGACACCATTGCTGTTGGTGGTCTCGTACCAATGAAAAGGTGCATCACTGGGACTTGTCAAGATGTTGATACAAATCTCGGTCAGCTGCACAGGGCCCCCCTGATAGCGCGTGACGACCGGAGCGATCTTGCCCAGGCATTTTTGTCAACTGATGGTGGAATCAAGAGATCATGAATTAAAGAAAATAGGCTCTACTTAGATACTGTATCCGCGGAACTTGGGACTTTATATCATTCAACTTGTGGATGAAGCGGGCTGATAGCATCGCAAGGTCTGAAGTTCCGCTACTCCCTGAGGTCGTCTGGGTGGTCGCTAGGTCGGAGGCTTGTTTACAAGCCAATAGTCCACAAATAATGGAAGGATATCCCAACAATTCATAACGAGCACTCATTTCCTTTTGTGACTTACGCCTGCAACCATCGGTTCAAAATCAAACCGAATTGTAACGCTCTGAAGAGCTGAAGAGGGGTGCACCGTCCGCGATAGGTCTTCCTCCCCACTTGTCCCTTGTGCTGCTCCCCATGTCCAACAAGTTTCGGTTGCCACTGGTTGCCACTTGGAACTTTTGTGCCTGCAGAACTCGCCGTTCATTCTCGTTGTTAGCAGGACTCGATGAGAGTATCCAGGATATCAAATCCAGGTTATTTCAAGCATTCCAGGCTCGATGCAACAAGCTCGGTCCCGTTCCAGAGCATAAATTGCTGTAAAGATACAGCATTGTACTGTACAGTACTATTGTAACGGCAGCAAAAAATTCCTTGATCTTGTATACTCCTTCACATCTGCAGATAACCGCTATTTGTCCGCTGGCAATGATGTAGTGCAGGCGGACCTGCGGGAGGTGTTGAATATCGCTAATGGAGATCCTCCTGACGCATGTCCGCCCCCTTGCCGCAACTCACAAAAGCCACGGCCAACAGGCCCTGCATGGACCCTGGCGCGATTTTTGATTTCGTAATTTGCCCCCCCAGAGATATAAACTTGTAACAAACACAACGTCCGTCACCTTGTCCAACTTCATTTCTCCCCAAAACTACCTCCTACATCCTACACAGCACGATCGGCAAAAACGACTGAAACTGAATAAATCTATTAATACACATCTAATCAATTGAGCTGCCCGAAATGCCGTCCGCAACCCCACCCCCGGCTCATGTTTACACTGCGGCAGAGGCGGCTCACAAAGGTGCCTTCCCTGCAGACGAACACTATCCCCAGCTGCCTTCCATAGAGGACCTCAAGAAAGAAGGCATACCAACTGGTTCGAAAACCTGCCGGGATTTATCTACAGAAAGATAACGCCACCTACCAGTACCACTACGCCCTCACCAAATCAAATATATGAAAGCATCACGTACGCGCTTCTCCCCGCCTGGCTGTCAAGTCAATTGCAGCACGTTTTATTAGAATTTCCAAGAACGACAACAAAAAAGGGATTCCTGGCCTTGAATTATTAACGTCATTTTCGAGTTAATTTTCATTTTGGTTTCTCCGTGCCGTGCATCTGTCATGGCCGTGCTTCAGCCTCATTTCACTCTACTCTGTTGGAGGTATCGCGACTAGGACAGTTACAGCTTCTTTGCCGCATTGACAGGCATAACAAAGCCGCGCATCTTTCACTCCCGCATGCTCTTGTTGAGATACATTGTTATATATTTATTTTATGTATCATAAATAGATAAAAAGAAATATTAATACTTGGTCGACGTCGTATCTGACTCGAAATTCCTAAACTGCAGCATGCCAAAATCGTCATGTCCGATGGAAGACTGGTGGTTACATGGAAATGTTGAGGAGGCGGAAGGAAGGCCGCAGGGTTCATTGGCTTTTTTCCTCTGTGAGTGCCTCCTAGCATCCGCTTGCCAAGCAACAAGCGAAACCACCTTTTTGCAACAAGGAGGACAGGCTTTCCTAGGTTGTCACGACATTGTTACGGTATTGCAAATACACCCTCATCGATCCTCGCGAACGAAAATTTAAAAAAAAGAGCGGACCAGCTAGGTGCAATGGTTCGGCCCAATCCTGCTCGTCACATTATCCTGGCCACATGGGGACGAGTTGGGTGGTGTCTGCATATTCCCCAGTTTATTTTAAGGTAACTAGTTACCTTTGCGGTGGCGGACATGAATTTTAGCCCCTCGCTGACTCACTTCCTGTCAAGCGTCAGGCCATTGACAGCACGTCCGCGCCCCGCAACAACCCGTTTTGTTTTCACAGAGCAGGAGATTCGAGGTCCCATTCCCATGCCGCGGCCTTCCGACTCAGAGTTAAGAGGGGGTACCATATGAAGACATCCCTTTTTTTTTTCCGGAGAACAGGAGGATTGAATTGAATTTGGTATCGCCTATCGGCGGAGAACAGGAGGATCAATAGCTTCAGATCTGTACAGGGTATCCTACTCCTGCCTCAAACACTTTCAGTTTCAACCATATATTACTTCTGAGGCCAAGCGCAGTACAGTGAATCCTCGGCAAACGTCACATATAGATTATTTCTGTTTTTACATACAATTCGCTTGAGATAACGCTGACCAACAATTACGGAACAAGTACAGCCAAGCCCGTTGATCCAAAGTGCATGAAGCGCCCAATGTCAACGGAATTTGCAGAGCATCACGTCGCGCAACGACGAACTTATTGCATAGCGTTGCTTCCTCCACCAGTTGTGCCATACCCAGCATCCCTTTCGTTATCCGCTTCGACAATGCTCTCGCATTTCCTTAACTTTGCCCATCTCGAGAGGTGGATCGCGACGGCCACAGTGAAGAGTGCAGTCGCACTGGCAATAGGAGGAACTCACTGCTGAGGATGGCTGTGTGCCGTCACGTGGTAGACGCCAACTGAAGTTGCCAGGAAGCTCAAGAAGAGGCATATTGTAAAATCCTGTGTTACGATCAGTTGGGAAGAACTGCCACGTGATAAGTAAAATGCTTACTTTGTATGCAAAGGCGAAAAATAAACCGTAGCCCAGCATCCGCCACAAGAAGATGGACCCGACAATGTGCGCTCCTTCAGACCGTGGGCTGATGCGAAACCCGTTCCAGTACATGGCAAAAGAAGTCCAAGACAACGGCCCAGAGACCAGGGCGGAATGGGCAAGCAGGGCATGATGGTGATATCGGAAGTAGAGTGATGACATATTCGCAAAATTCAGGACCAAGATGATTTGTGCCCAGGCAAAGTAGGAGTACGCGACCAATGTGACCGACCCTAGGTGCAGAAGGTTGAATGCAATAAAGTGGCTGCTTGTGCTGACAATTGCATCTCTGAAGGCAAGTTTCCGTGGTATTAGAGCGATTCCTATGCACAGAAGCTGCCGGACGAAGAGGTTGAGCCTGTGTGGAAATCGTTAACTCGAGAAGTCAACAGCCGCAATCTAGAGCGCAGTAAACTAACCAATATAGAGTTCCTACAATGCTGTCCATAGTGAAGACCGTCGGGTGCAGGTAGTTCTGAACCCAGACCCCATTAGAAACCAAGGCGGTGTGGGGAAGTGATGGAGCTAGCAGGGTAATTATTCCATGGACCACCACCACGACGAGCGATTTCGTTCTCGATGGCACACCGACAAGTCCACAAGGGTTCGTTTATTTGTGGGGCATGGATAGGCTTTTTTTCAACCAACAACATCGGTGCCGTATGGACATGCTTGGGCACGCCACATCTTTGTATGTAGACAGACCTGCCCCGGATGACTGCATAGAACCTCGTATGCGGTCGAGAGTCTGTGGTCTATGCCTAAACCTTCCAAAACAATGCGACATGCGTTTGGCTAAGGAGTCGAGTGTACCAAGCTGGCCGGAGATGGCCGTTCTAAAATAGGTATTACTTTCAAGAACTGGGCAATTTTGAGACGCTACCAGACTTTTGCAAAAGCTACACAAAAGGGCTAGTTTAAAAAATGAAATCTACTTGCATCATTTCAATCCAATCTCTGTAATTTCATCTGCGCTAGTTCGGGAAATCACCATCTGCTTTGCAGGCTGGCGAAATCCGTCTGGCCTTCAACATGTCATATTCGAGACCGTCGGTACGCTATTTCCTCAGTACGCTGTAATAACCCGAGACACAAAGAAATGACGGCAAGCCTTTTGTGATATCATCGAGTCATGAGGACTGTTCGATAGTTAGAAGGCTTCTAATCCGCGTAGGCCAACAAACCAACCAGATGAAATAATGATAATCAGCAAGACGATAATAATTCCAGATACTACACATATGCGCCACTTCATGTCTTTCCACCACATCTGCTTGCGCACTCGATTGGCCCCCCTGCGAAACTGTCCGGTGCTATGCTTTAAAGCCTCACCTTTGTCCACCATGACGTCCAACATTCCACTTCGCTTTTCCACAGCGGGAATCAGTTCTTCAAGCGTCTTACGGCAATTATCAATTTCCTGGTCACCGCTGCAAATTAGCACTGAGGAACTTTGGCGGCTCTGACGCGCATGTAACGGAGAAACGACGCCCACAAGGGAAACTCTATTCCTAGCAGCAGGTAAGACAGCATCGGGATTAGGAGGACAATCATTCCTAAAGCACTTCATTATGCAGGAAGCACAACCGGAACTTACTTTGGCTGTCTCGTTAATGGCGCTTTGCTGTGTCATTATGGTGACTATTAACCGTCAATTTAGGATGAGCCTAATGGCAATTTGTATTGACAGGAAAGCTTGTATTGACAGAGAGGGAAGCGAAGAAGGCAGGGAGCTCCTTATTTCTAGAAGCTGGGAAAGGAGAATGGAAACGTTCTGCTTTCGATATACATATACAGTACCAACGAGCTGAACTCCACGAACAATACTGTACGTCTCATTGATCTATACTTTTTGTCATCAGACATGTGTCTCAGGGACGAGACATATTACGGGACGGCGCAACCCACCGGCTCACACATAAAGTACTATACGCCGTGCCAAGCACCCACTATACGGATGACCGAAAGAAGGCGGAATGGCGACAAATAGTTTGCAAAAGACAAAATTTGTGTGGGAAAGAGCGTTCAGGTCCCGTGGCCACTTGCTTCCCCAAGAACTACTTGACCATCAAATTGACTGAACCAGTCTTTTTAGCTAGGCTATCCCACAACACCCACCACAGAGGCTTGTTTACGTAACTTGTGAGACTGCCACCTTGTAATGAAAATAACCAAGTACATGGCATACAAGACCGCGGAAATCACAACGGGGGGCACCCATTGGTGAAACTCGGCATCATGTCTTGCGTGATATAGCCCAACCGATGTTGTCAGCGTGCTCAAAGAAAGACACATTACGTCGTCCTTGACACTAGTTAGCGGGAAATATTTAATCAACACAGAATGGCGCCTACCTTATATTTGAGAGCAAAAAAAATGCCGTAGCAGAGAATCCACCACAGGAAAATTGATCCGGCCGAATAAACTGTGTTAGTAACCCGCTGGATTAGGCCAGCACCGTTCCAAAGCATGGCAAAGAATGCCCACGCGAGAGGCGCAGAGGCCATGGAAGAGCGAATGAGCCAGGGGCAATCAGCGAGGCGAAAGTATAGCGAGGACATGTTTGCAAAATTGAGGACCAATGCAGCTTCAGCCCATGCGAGTTGCGAGGATACGTAGAGAATCGCCGACACTAAATGAAGTACATTCGACATTACGAAGTGAGCGGTTACATTGGCAATGGAATTCATGTAACCCGGAACCAAGGATAGCACGGCGTATACTAAGCAAAATAGCTGGAAGAGAAAAAGGGCAATCCTATCAGATTTCAGGTTCAGCAGTTAGAACGGAACAAGGAGCAACAGTCCTTTGGGAGAAACTAACCAGAAGAAAGATGCAACAATACCGTCCATAGTAAGCGCATGTGGGTGAAGGTAATTCTGATCCCATACTGGCGTGCGGGTCGTGTTGTCGGATCGGAGTATGGCACAATAGATTGAAACCGACAGAGACAAGACCCATGTTACCAACATAACGACAATAGTGGGGAAAGTTCCATGGTCATGTTCTGTGCGGAATAGCCACATGATACTTAGGCTTGGCCTAGTAATTTCAGATGGTCTGGTGGCCCTCAAACACTGCTCATCTCTCGGTTTCTCCATTGAAGCGAGTCTTGACACAACAGTAGAGGCCTTGGGGGGCGAAACGTGGGCATTTTATGTCGAGGACCACAGATCATGAGTACAAATATGGCACTGTTCAGTAATCACAGTGCCCCGCTACCAATTTAGTTTCGATGACAAACTTGCGGCTTCACGTCGGTGTTTTCACATGCTCGAGAACTGTCAAGGGACTACATTGTTATCAAGCCAGGCGGTGCACGCCCGCAACTGCATGAACATATCGAGACACACATATCGCCGACATCTACTGAGGCATCGATGTTTTGTGGTCAGAAGTGGCTTCAATACACTTACCGCTTAGCAGATAGCCTTGCCATCATCAAACAAACCAACTCCACTCGAGGCTAGCCCATCGCGTGGACGTCACCCGCTTTGTGGGATTGGAATAGTTAGTCCCATCGTTCCAACACTCTCCAATATTTATATTTGACTAGTGGTACGACACTTTGCAAGAGCCCTGCAAGGCGGATGCGTTAGTCCAGGAACCTAACACTTCCGTCTCCTCGAGGACCCCCTCACGCAGTTGTGTCGCGCAGCTGACGATCCCGTGCAAAACCGTTATCCATGGCGCTCACAAATACCACCATTCTCCTGGTCGTCGCATACACCATTTTCAGTTATATTGTAGTAATCATCCACCGTCTTTATTTCCACCCCCTCGCCGGCTTTCCGGGCCTAAATTCGCAGCGGCCACCGGGTGGTATGAATTCTTCTACGACGTGGTCAAGGGCGGACAATTTTACCGATAGATAAGGCGGATGCATGAGAAATACGGTGCTGTATTGATTCCTTTTCGTTTACGAATTCTGTTCAAAATGAATCCCAAAAATATCAGCGGGGAAAAGAGGCTGTCGGTCAACATTGTAACTCCCCCCCCGCCCCGCCCCCATTTTAGGCCCAATTATTCGCATAAACGCCAAGGAAGTCCACATCCTCGATGCGACCTTCTACGACGAAATCTATGCGTTGGCTTCAAAGAGGTGTGACAAGTACGATGCTTGGGTCGTCTTCCTAGATGTCGCCACCAGGGCTTTCGCAGCATGCTCACACGAGCACCACAACTTCGACGTCGGTCTTTGAACATGTGATTCTCGCAGAAGGAGGTCTACGAAATCGAGAATTTGATAGAGGGCAGGGTGAGACTTCTATGCAATCGTCTCGACAAGTTCGCTCAAACCCGGAAAGAGGTGCGTCTCGACATCGCCCTTTGCTCTTGCAAACGACATAATCACCGAATACACATTTGGAGAGGGCTACGACTGCCTAAAAAACGACGACTTCCAGAAGGACTTCAAGCGCATACTTTTAAGTGCTGTCCAAACTGGCGCCTTCATTCGACAGCTCCCTTGGGTTGTTGGGCTTGTACGCCGCATCCCTCCATGGGTTGTGGGAAGGATCAGCAAAGATTTTCTTGCGGTTCTGAACTGGGAGGGTGTTGTCCGCAGAAGAGTCGAGAGCTTTTTAATCGAGAAGAGAAAATTGAATAACGAGGCCGCAACTGCTTCTGTTCTTACAAGATTGCTAGACAATGACCTGCCTGACGACGAGAAGTCTTTCCAGAGGCTGGTAGACGAGGGTAAATCGCTGATGGGCGTGGGCAGCAAGACAACCTCATGGACGCTGACACTACTCATCTAGTACGTGGCACGGCATGAAGGGATTCTGGAAAAATGAGAAAAGATCTCGACAACATTCCCTTTGATGCCACGGAAAGTTCAGTGCTCAGTTTGTTAGACAAGAGAGAATATCTAGTAAGTTTAGACTGTGTATGACATGAACGCAAGTTCCGCGAGCTGACAAGATGATGTCAAGTGCGCGGTGGTCACGGAGGCATTGAGATTCAATCACGGTGCGCTCAGTTGCTTGTCCCGTGCTGCCCAAGAGCCAATTCAATATGGTAACTGGATCATACCAACCGGAGTGAGTTCTGCTCAGCAAACACACCTCCCCAGCAAACTAACGAGAATACGGACCCCTCTAAGTTCGACAAACTACTTTGTCCACATGGACGAAAGGATATTCCCTAATCTCTCGGAGTTTTCTCCCGATCGATGGCTTGGAGGGCGGCAAGTCGTCTTAAAAAGTATATGGTATCTCTTGGGGCACTCGCAGATGTGTTGGCCAAAAGTGAGCATCTCTCGTCCTGGCCGCGAATAGCCAATCATTTCCGACTATGCCCTAGCAAGATACCTGTTAGATTCTCAGAGACCACAAAATATGAAGGTTGGGGAGTAAAGATAAAAGGCCTCACTTCTTCAAGTTAAACAAGAAGAGAACAGACAAGAATACATCACAATTTTTTATCTCCATAATAGTGCCACCGTATTTCTGACAATACCCAGTCTTGCCCTTGTGCAACTAAAGCTGGCAGCAGCACTTCTCTTCACTCAGTATAATTTCGAATTCGTCAATACTACCGAGAAGGACGTCTTACCGGTTCGCGACTCCTTCATCTCTCGACCCGTGGCTGATTCCGACTGTGTCCGCGCCAAGATTGTAAAGTTATAGATCTGCATACTTGTCGCGCTTGACCGAGAGTGTCGTTGGGAGGCATGCCATCTAACCATGCCGTCAAATGCCGAGGTGTGGCATTGCACATTTACTCTACGACTAGCGTGGTCTTCGTGGGCGCTGTGCAATGCACTAGTACACATAATTTAGTACGGCTGGTGGGGTGAGCTCCAATATAGACCATGTCGCATATCAGGCCTACCCTGATCGTACCTCATGTGGGGCATTGCAGCAGCTGCCTGCCAGGCAGCAGCTACTGCCTGAACTATCAAAGGTTTCTTTTGTGTATGTATAAAGAGATGAACGGTTCCCGTGCAGCTTTTAATGGCCTCACGTGTGTACCACTGGGATCAATCACGGTGAAATAGACCGATGTGGCGAAAGACAAGCTCCGGCTTATTGCTACGAGAGCATGGCAGGCAAGTGTCAGTCTCCGGCCGAATCTGGGCAGTTCTCGGTATACGACTTCTGTACCTGGTCAATACTCCGCGGGCTCTCACCAGCTTCGGCGAATTCGTACCACTGCTTGGCTCCATGATGAACTCTGGGGCCTCAGGAGCTGTGAGATCAATTTGATGTAGGTTTCGATTTTCCCAAGGTCATGGAAGCGGAGGCCTGTTTCTTTATACAGGCAGTCGGGCCAGGTATGGAAAAGTCGCTTTCTACTCATAATGACACAGTCCGAGAATCAGTTGTTATATCAGACGATCTCAAGTAAGTACTACAGTACACTGCCGTGCTTTTGTCGGGCAAAATCCACAGCAGGGGCTAGACCTCAGTGGACGTGCATCTCTTTAGAGCACCTTGGGCTGGTCTAAATCGAAAGACCTGGCGGGAATGTTCATAAAAGAACTGGGAACCAAGGCGAATCTATGAACGAAGGCCAGCATGGCCGAGCTTGCGTAAAAAGCCCTACGGCGGGGGTCACGGTAGGCGTCTCTATGTCGTATAGTTGGGGAATGCAGGAGTTGCTGGGAACCGCTATACTGACAATTAATAACAATTGTTGACTTGGTACGAGTCATGTACTAAGCATGACGTGCAGAAGAGTTGCTGCCTAGTTGCACGGACCGTGCCACTAGGTATTTATATGTATGAGAGCTGTCAGCCAGAATTTAATAGAAGTAAGTTCAATCGCAACAACAATCAATGGCCGAAATCAGCAGAGTCTCTGAAATCCAGGCTGAAGCTGGTTACGCGGTCATTTTGCCACCCAGGTGGCAATGGTAGTCGTAATTCTGCTACCTTTAGGCAGCAGTATTCCAAAGGTATTAAGGACCGGGAGTTTCCTCGGTGGAGGGAAGGAGGGGAACAGACAACAGAGAAGGGAACACAGTTATGAATGAACAAACAGACAAGAATTGGAACGTTTTCTCCATGACTATAGCTAATACCCGTCTCAAAACGCGACACCATCAACCAACCGAGTCGTAAGAAAACCTTGCGTGTCCATTGCACGAACCTACATGTGACTCAACCCCTTTCAACTCGGATCACCGTAAAACGAACGTTATCAAGTAGCTGGGGTAAGTACCTGGTTGTTAAGTCAGAATAATCGACATGGTGCGGGACGGTCGCAACTTTTATCCTTCTTCATCCTTCATCAACAAATCATGTGCAGTTGCATCCTGGCCCGTGTGTTGTGCACCCTTTGTTGGCCATGTTGTGCACCAGTCCTGTCTTGACTTGGCAGAACGGGAGCCGGGCCGGAATACGCCGATTGAATGCTTCACAGCTGTTGTAACACGATCGACGTATACCTGAAGTTGTCTTGGACAGTGGATATGCTGGATGCAACGACAGTGATGTATCACTTTTGGCTATGGCTTGGGGCCCTATGCACATCAAAACAATACAAGGCTTATTGGCTTGTTGGCTGACCAACTTCGTGTGTGAATGCCGGACCCGGTTGTTGGTCAATGTTTTGTTGGTTAGTAAGTTTATGTTAAGCTTCTCAGTCGCTATCGCCTGGGGAGTCACGCAAGTCGAGTCGATTCCTTGCCAAGGCGCGGTGGTAGGGGTAAGCGCGCTGCATTATCCACGCGCTGCCTGCATCTCGTACTGCAGCCAGGCACTGTCATGGCCGTACACCACACCGACTTGTTACGCCTGCAATCAACTGTTGCCAGCCAGCCCGCAGCTACAGCATTCCATTCGTTCGACACGGGAAACTAGTGCCACATTCACCACATGCATCGTCAACTTCAAGTTTCCCTGCCCCTCCAACACCGGTAAGGTAGGTCGCAGTCGTGATCGGTTTGCGTTACATGAATAATGGCTATTATGGATGTATTTACGTTCTGTCTGTATCCCGGCATACATTCCACTGCCTGCACTCTATTCTTCCACTTGTCCAAAATGGACACTTAGTGTTCAGCCAAAATTGGAGGCAACCTATGGAAACAGGTAGCTTCCACGAGTACAACACCACGCGTTTAGCGCCATCTGCCACTTCAGGCTATATGTGTGCGGCTATAAAGGGACGAAGATTACCTCAGGGATGACGATTACCTCATTGCCTGACAATGCCGGTACCACAATGGGTGCACCTGGTGTACCAGACGGAATTTGTGTAGTTGGTCGCCACCCGAGTCGCAAAACGCAGGCCGGGGGAATAAGCTGTAGATGGGAATTGATTTTCACAGCATCCTGAGGATCACTGAGACAAAATAATAAGGTGTCTGGACACAAAAGAGTCTGCATAAGGGTCATGTTGAGCAGCGCAAGTTGAGCTACAACATGGCAAAGTCCCATGCCTAGCTTTGATGTCATGTTCTACAGTTAATCGTCATATTTAGACAGCCCAACTACCAATGAACCACGTCAGACCTATGCCCAGCCGGCCCCGGCGGCGCGATAAAAGAACCAAGGTCTTCACAATATCGATCAAATTAAAAGTTTTCGACAACCTTATAAATATTTAAACGCTATTTAATACGTACTAATGAAACCACATGCAGTACTGGACAATACACCAGTCGAATTGTTGTTTTGCATATTCAAAGACTCATCGCTCACACAACTTGACGTCCTGGAACAGGCTTGTGTCCGTCATCCGTTGCTCGATATCATTCGCCATTATTTTCATCGCCGTTTGCTAAATACATGCACTAATGCTCTACCGGAGGTAGCGCAAATCGGTCGAGTCAAGGAAATTGAATATCTGGCTTCACACTCGGACCTTGATGTGAATGTCAGGGACGTCGTAGGCCAAACTCCACTGCACATCGCGGCGAAAACAGGATACGTGGCTGTGGTGCGAGCACTTTTACGATTTCCAGGTGTTGTTGTTGACCGCAGGGATGACGCGTCGACCACGCAAGGAGTCTATTTCTTGTTCTCTCTATTTCTGTCTCTCTCTCAAAAAAATTTTTTTACCTCCACCTTGTCCTCATCATTGGAATGACAGAAGTTTTTGGCGCAAACACCATTACTGCAGCGTGACAAATTCGACCCCTTTCGGGTGGCGCATATGGTGTATATCCAGCCAACTACGCATCCTCCGCATCCCCATGAATTCTTTTCCCACAGGAGCTACCAGGTTAAGGGTGTCAATGTAGTAACCACATGTATGTATATTTACTATGCTCATTTGGCAAACAGACCAGAATTCTAAGCATGAGGAAATGTGCATTGGTCTCCTCGGCAGTGATGGTGCGAGCCATGCCCCTGGCAGCACAACACGCCAGCCTACCGTTCCTTAGACAAAACGGCGATCATATATTTTAAAGATGGCATCAAGCGTAGCGTCCCTGTCCTGTCCCTCTATCCAGACATCTCCTCGGTACGGTCTGCCCGGGCTGGGATCTTCTACAGACCGCAAGATTTCAGAGATCTTTGCTGTAAACCTTTCGCTCCATCTCCTTTCTTTCGCGTCATCATCCCAGTGTAGCTCAAAGCGAGCTAACGCCTCCCCGAGTGGCATGGCACACTGGTCCTGCAGCTCGTTCATACGACCACCGCCTAGGATAACAAGAGCGTACATCCTCTCCCTCGCTGGGTGGCGGCTCGGGACCTCCTCGAATGCATGGTACAAATCATTAAACATGTCCTCGCAATTAGGTCTCACCCAGTAAGAGATGGAGGTGAAGTACGACCTGTCCATCTCGCGCTTGGTTGAACTTTCAGTCCAATAGTCCAGCGGGTTGTTGTGCAAGTCCTCTTGAGTAACATCGGCCAGCCTCGTCGGGTTCTTCTTCAGGTGATCTAAAGCGGGTATCAGCCGCAATTCCAGCAGACGCCTTTGCTGCCACCGAGAGGTGTCATCTACCAAACGAAAAACTTCTTGGCCCAAATGTGTCTCGAGAATATTGATGGTCTCCTCAGCTGTCAATAAACTGACAATGTTGAAAGAACAGACTGGTTCGGTCGTATCCGGTTCGAAATGAAAGCGAAATGACACGGACACGTCTCTCGGCAAGCCTAACGAGTTTGCAAAAGCGTTGTTTTTGATGCAAGTTGCGAGTTGCTGTTTGTCAATCCGTGTAAATCTCCAAGTTGCTCGGCGAGGCTCGTCGATAACTCAAAGGTGGATTTTCGTAACAACACCAACCCCCGCGGCTGCTCCGCCTCGCATCGCGTATAGTAGCTCCGCATGATTGTCATCCACCTCCAACACCGTTCCGTCCCAAAGAACGACCCGCCCACCGACAACAGACTGGCACCCGAGACCAAAATGCCGGGCAAGAATAAGATCCCAGCCCGCGGTAAGGAAATGGCCTCCTGCGCCAACCCCGAAACAATCGCCGTGAGGCACCGCTTTCTGGTTCTTGGCCAGCATATCAATGCTCCCCGCGAGGAGACACCCGGGCTCCAAGAGCAGCGTGTTGTTGTCGACTCGCCGCCCGGTCATAGCCGAGAGATTCAACATGACGCCTGTGCAAGAAGCCCCATTGAAGTAGCCATGGCCACCACTTTTAACAGACAGCGGGATTCTTCCGTATAGGCGCAGTCTTTTGAATGCCCTCAGAGTCTGAACAACCTCACCCTCAATTTTGGGTGACACGATGAGATGAGGCAGTGGTGCAGCGCGGTCGTGCATTTGAGGAATGGTCGGCAAAAATTGCCCGCGCGTATGATGCGCCTGAATGTTTTGCCGTGAAAGTAGTGCAGATAATTCGTTTAGATAAAAGTTGCCACAGCCAACGCTAGTCGTGCACCCTTGGCTCTGGATGTCACTGAAGTCCGCAGCATCGCTTGCACTGGGATTGACAATGAGCGATGGCGTGGGGATTGCGCAAGCATTGTCCTGTTGTTGACAAAGCATTGTCAAAAATCAATTTGAAAACAAGATGAGAATAAATGGCAATCTCACATTCTACGTAGGTTTGCTGTTTGGGAATCAAACAACACTATATATAGATACGACGAAGTCCTCTGAAATCAATGGCGTCCTACGGCTAGGCGACCCATCAATGTGTTTACCAGGGCCGTTATGTGCTGTTGCTCTCCGTATGTCACATGCAGGAATACATACAAGATCCACGTACTTATCGAGCTTGCTTAATGTTTGTGCTATGTACATATGTAGTTACTGTACATACTGTAGATCAGGAGGGATGCATACGGAACACGACCATATCACGACGGGTCTGTCAGTCATGTTATCAATGCGCGGAACAACTCCGCTCTGGAAAGCCATCGCTCACCCATTCTCACGAGTCAAGTTTGTTCCGTTATGCCCTGCCCTTGAACTACATGTTACACAAGCGCTGATCTTCGCGTTGACATTGTTGTCGGATAAAACTGCCTCTGTTGATAGAACAAGCAAACTTGGTGTAATTTCCATCTGTCATTATGTGGGTTATCATGACTCAAGTTAGCCGAAAAACAGATTCGGACGAAAGGAAGTTTTTGATATTAAATAGAGAGCTGCAGACTCCGTCTGCAGCACTCGGAAAAACAAGAATATGAATTTTATGAAGAAGCTTAGTTAGCATGAGTCTCATAACGTGACAATTGTGGACCTACAGTACCGGAGAAACACAAAAGTCGTGGCGGGTTCCACCCTCTGCTGACTCACAGTCCGTGAAAAGGGCGAAGTAGTTGTGCCACCTTCTTTGACCGTTTTGACACTATCACCCACCGTCATCCCGCTATGTACATCAGGCTGAGTAGCGACTGCACCTCCGTTATGCCTCCGGCTCTCCCCGCCACTGCCTGTGAAAGGCCTCTGGCGTGTTGATTCAACTAAGTAGTCCCTATGCTTTTACTATCGAGATGAAGAAGAAAAGGAAGTCTACATATTTAATACCCCGTGACATAGAAACAACGCCTTATATCCTTCCAATATGCCTCCATAGAAGGCTCTAGAATCAACCCGCCGGGGGAGTTAGTGATGGCCGGCACAGCCGCCGTCCAAGAGGCTGGGCCCGTCACACTGCCTGTCCTTGCCGCTGAATGACGGCGCAAGTAAGGCGGTAATGGCAGATGAAAGCAGCCTCTCAACTTGTCCTTATCTATTTTGGATCTCTGTCTCACCTTCGCTCGCTGCAAGTAAGTTTTCATATTGCAGACCTCGACAGCGTCAGCAATGCCTTGACGTATATCTAGGTATGAGAGGAATTAAACCTACACAAACCAACACTAGGTCTCATGTTGTTATTTTCTTTGGAGAGACCCGATTTATTGAAAGAACGGACGCACGTCTATTTTCGATAGCCATCCGCAGTTTCCTGTTGTTGTCGTGTCCTTGTCATTGCGATCAGGTCGTTGAAGATGTCTATGAATATACGGTAAAACGGTTGTCTTGACCGGTGTGGTGATTCCCTGCGGGAGATATCTCAGTTGCCTTGCTTGTGCCGCAAGTTGTACATTGAACAATTGTCGGGCCCTTGATTCGGACTCCCTTTGTCTGCAGAACAAGCTGTTCAAGTACCCGTGGCCCTGCATGGCAGGCTCGGCGGTGCCAGATTTCGGATGATTTATCCACGGTTGAACGGGCCCAGACAGCAAGCTCAGCGTAGCTATGATGGGCTCTGAAGTGCTAACGGGCTCATAACTGTCAGACAATTGAGGGTCACAAAAGTCGAGTATAATGGCGCTGAAGGCGCCAGTTGTATTGAATGAGAATTATCTGAGGAGCAAGAACTCCATAAGAGTTGCACGGTTCCCAAGGGAAGCTCTGACTCAAGCTATTGTTATCTTGTCAGTGGTCACAAAATACGAAGGCTGGCCAACGACCGGAATGAAGTAAAGATAAGTACAGGACCTCAGCTCTTCAAGTTAGATAATTTCACAGAGCAGACAAGCATACATCACAGCATTGTCTCCATAATAGTGCCAACCTATTCTAACAGCTAAGTCCTAAGGTGGGGCCGTTCCTCATAGTCCTGGAATACACAAGTTGTGAAGTGATGGAAAGTTAGCACCCGAAGTCATATGAATCCTCAGGTACATATTTGCACGGCAAAACGAAGGCAGATGCTGGAGGTAGGTTACGCAAGCACCAAGGCCAATCAGTGCTGAAGCAACTACTGAACGCAATGCCACACAGCGTTATAGATATTTAAACACCTCTAATGCGTCTGTTTCCAGCTCATTTCCCGTCTTATTTCTCTTTTTTTTTTTTCCATCTCATCAACTCCTATTCCCAAAATGATCAACTCAGTGAAAGCGCCGCGTCGTTATAAGTGGATTGCCCGCAAATTTTCTGGCTACAGCGCTCGCCGCAAGAAGCTTTCCGATACCGCCAGCAGGCCGGGTCGTATTAAGTTTGTGTATGCCGCTGTTATTAATACATCAGGTGATGGTGACTGTGGGAATTATGGCAATTACATTTACGCACGGATTTCCCACAACGGCGTTTCCAAGGAAGCAAGTACAACCATGACCCAAGAGCCAGGCAAAGACGAAAGCGGGTGAGACACAGAAGCGACATGGTGCAACCTCAGTACGCCAAAACACCAATTACGATTGAATTGACCGTTATGTCATAATCCCCGAGGTTTTTTAGTATTATCAGAGTCCTCGAGCCGAGATGTGGAGGCTAAGGTTTGAAGTTCCGTGATAGCACTCTCGGCAAAGAGTACCTCCACGGCAGCTACGACGCACTTGATAGATTTGAAAAGGATATATTTACGGTCCGACATTATCTAGATCCCAATATGGCGAGCTACTACAAGTTGCCGCACAGGGGAAATTTGTAACGGGCCAAGACGCTTGAACGGCGGCTGTGCCGCCAGCGTGTTGACTGAAGCGTCCGTGGAGGCGTATTGGGAATATGTAAGTCGCTGTTATCATGTTACTGCGTTTTATACTTCCTTTTTCTTCTTTGTCTTGATAGTAAACAGCTTAGGGACTAGTTAGTTGAATCAAATCGCTAGGGGCCTTTCACATACAGCTTCAGGTTCGTTGGATACGGAAGCAATTCATCCTGTATTTGACGTCCAGAGACAGGATGGTACACCGCACCTCCGTTCACACGCACTCCCATGTTCGCCCCTGACGCAAAGGGAAGTGCTGTGCGTACAAGCCAGGCCATCGCATCGACCTCAATGTCAACCCGTGGAAAGAGCGGCCGGCAAGTGGTCTCGGCCAGTTCGGTCTGTTTTCCTTTTTGCTCTTGAAGATGTGGTCGTGTCCGTCACAGGCTATGTTCAATGCTCCACCAAAAGAGTGCAACCCATCAAGTTGAGTCAGGCTCCCGAGACCATCTACACATTCATTGTTTACCAACATCAACCGTACACCGCGGCTGTGTTATTCATCCAGGTAGGATGATTGAACGGAGTGGCATCAAACGAGAACTGTTGCAATATTCACAAATTAATATCACATGTGACATTATGTGTAGTCCCGTAATAGCGAGAGACACCATGTGTAGATATCGTGACTACCAACCCCAACCCCAACCCCCCTTTGCCTACCTTTAAGAGAGATAGACTTGAACTGACTTATTGATACCCCGTTGCAGTACTGCATCACTTTTCCCTTGGGCGAACCAAAAGTACCATCCACACGAAAGTCTACGTACAACACTCAATGCCGGGGCTTAGCCACCACTTAACAATAAATATAATTTCCCTCTGTTCAGCATACTCCAATTCAATGCCGTCCCTGACGTCTTCCCCTCTCATGACACTTAGTATTCCCTGCAAAGTGCCCACTCACAACACATGCCTGGGCTGTATGGACATGGATTTATCCTACACTTGAGCTTGATGCTTTCTTCGCCACCTTCTACACGACTGGACAACATGCCACTATTGGGAGGCCATGCGCGCCTGCGTGCGGCCCTGTTTTGGCTAGAGCGGGCTCTAACAGGTATGTATGGCAAGCCTTTAGCCTCGGAAGCCTCCAGGTGGTGTGATGTACGGCCATAACGGTGCCTAGGCACACACATAACCAGTCCACTCAAGAATGAGTCAGAACACAAGTACTTGACCCACAGAGAATAGATCTTCCATGTCAAGTGCGTAACCAAATTTAGTCTCTTTACTACAGTATACTGTATGTACTGTACATCAACACGAGACGAAGATGTGTGCAATAATAAGGTGTAGCCCAACCCCGCTCCCACAACAATAAGAATCGATTATTCACTACATAACCCATCGAGAATCTGAATAACCCCGGTGTATCTAACATCTTAGCGCCGTTTTAATTGCACACTCTTCCGCGAATCTATCAACGTACAGTTAAACAAACCGGAGTGTAGCTGTATAAGAAAGTCGGACACTACGTGGAGACCGGTTGTCAGCTTCTCCCACAACTCCAGCCTGCCAGCCTGAGACACACAGAAGTTATTTACCAATGCTTCCGCGTTGTCGAACGTCAGACGCGGCACCCTCGCTGGCCTACTCGGCAACGGGCATCACCAACGCCGGCATGACCGCGGCGACCAGCACTTGAGCATTGCACATAGTTGCGGGGCGCTGCACACAACTGCGGAGCAATGACACATGGTTGCCGCACTGCATATACTTACATGTGTACAGGACTTACATAACTCGTTGCAAACAACAGGAAATGGGCCGAACATGACTCTGCTAGGGAGGGAGGGGTTCGTACAACTCGGCGCACCAGTCGACGGACCCTGGCCCACCTCCAGCCACCTCTCGGCCGACCGTTACAACACCTGATCCACTGTTGATCGAACCCAGCACAATAGCAGCCTACATTACATCCTGTGTAGCAGCGATTGCATTACTCAATAAATACAGGTACAGACTGAAGCAGGGAGAGATGGTATCCACTAGCCGCCACCAAAGCGGTAGACTCAATTTTGTGGTTGGACATGATGGGGTGGGCATGAACTCTGGGGTATGCTTCCCGTATTACCATGTAGCACCAGCCTCCTTCGTGGACACAAACTCTCTGTCCTGGGCAGCAATACTGCTGCCTGGCGGCCAAGAAATTGCTGTATGACTGTCGCAAATAAGCCATGATCCTTGACCAGCCACAGAACAGAACATGTTACTAATAGGAATCCACTTGTGTGAGAAAATAACTGCCAGACGGCAACTTTCGTGATCCGTTGTTAACACGTATAACACGTATAACAACCATATTGACAGTGTCTGTTCCCATCATCCCGTTCATCAGCTATTTCTGAATATATCTACTGGGGATTGTACCCACAGCCCAACGTCATTCGGTCACGCTTCCTCCTGTATGTTGATTTTCTTCGAATGCACTATGCTATCGCATCGTCGTATGGACTTTTGGGACGTTGTAATGAATAAAGGCGGCGAGCCCACACTAGAAGCGCCCCCAGCGACCCCTGTTACGTGTCACACAGCGGGAGTCGAGGAGCTGTCATGTTGCCTTTCTCGAG